TAGGTCCACGCATCTTAAAGTTGCTGAGGTTGAGAAACACTGGTCTATAAGAATTCTGGTGGTCACAGAGGTGGGAAAGGAGCATCAAGTATAAAGCGCACTCATGTGCTCACGTTGTATTGCACTTGCAGGATTTAAGCCTGCCTAATTCTCCCAAATGTCACCCTTAATGGTTTTCCAAATCTGACATCCCCCATCGTTATTTCTCTTAAACATCCCAAAAGGTCTGGATGCTGGGGTGGGGAAAAAGCAACCTTCCACCGTGCCTACTCTTTGCAAGCGGTAAAACCCCAAATGCAAGAAACGGGAGCGATTGAGCAGCTGTCAGAAGTCTTGGGCTCAAGTGGCTGAGCATAAAATCCACCGGTCACCTTGCCCAACCCCAACCCCATCTGGCCAAGTGCACGCCAGGGGGCTTGGGGCCCAAACAGCTGGACTTTCTTCGAATCTCGTTGAGGGACTTGAGTTCTCAAATGATAACACAGGTAGCACTGACGGTGACCAAACATTTGCACAGTAGCAAGGCGAGATGGACAGGAGGAACGTTGGATAAGAGGGGCAGTCACGACATGACTGCCTCACTGGGGGCTGCATTTTCCATCTCACCCTCCCCCAAATCTTCTGAATCTGGCATTCTATAAAAACACAAGGAAGGAGCGAGCACATCACACCTGGAGCACAGGCTTCCTCTTCCCCACTCAAAGGATCGGTTCCTAACTAAGATCTTAGCAGACAATGTTGGGCTGATGGGAAAAAGAATGGGAAGTGGTCTTGCACCCCCCATGGAAGTGACTTGTTATTTTTCCAAGCATCTTTTGCTCCTCCCCTCCTCCCTGGGGCTAATAAGCTGTTGCTTGCGCCTTTTGTGTCTATGAGTGCAATTTTTAAGGAAAGATACTGACTCCTAAAAAGCGCTGTCTCCTAGGGAGAAGTGCAGAATGAAATCTCTGGGCCTTTTCTGGTTCTAGCTGCTTGGGGTGATCAGAGTGGGCCCAGAGTAATAGCAATTTGGAGCGTCTTTGCTGCTGTTCCGTGGTTCACCCTCCTTCCTTCAACTCCCTCCTTGACTTCAGCCGGCTTTCCAAGCTCCTGCCCCAGCCTGCCCTCTCTTGCACCTTCCTTCCTCCTCCCCAGCGAGACAATCTTCCTCTGCCCGTCCTTCCTTCTGGCGCGAATCATTTGTCCTGCTTATCCAAGCCGGGCGCGCTCTCGTGTGAAAAGCTGGCAGCTCCTGTTCCAGGATTTTAAGCTTTACAAGGTTCCTGTGCATCCCTTTTAACCTCAGCTGAGTTAAATTCTTCCCGGTGTTATTTTTTACAAGGCCCTTTTCATGGAAGATTTGAGTCGGCAAGCTGTCTTGCTTGGGCTGGTGCCTATTAAATTGCTGGAAACCACTCGCTCGCTTTGACTTCATTACAGCATGCATACAATTCCTCCATAAATTGCACATTCCCTTTTCCTTCCTCTCACCATCTATTTTTCCCCTCTGCCCCACCTTCTCTCCCCTCCCACCAGCGTTTTTCTATCTCCCACTTGCTGCTGCTGTTGCTTTCTGGGGGCCGTGTTATCCATTACGGGATATAAATTCTTTATGGTCCAGTATTTTGTGGTGTCAAATGAAAGAGACCCAACCAGGCATGGTTTTCAATCTCGAACTAACTGCTGCAGCAGATCCAGCTACAATCAGCCCCCCTGCGAGATCACAGTGCCTGCTTTAAAACTTCCCAAATTGCAGTAAATCAGCCTAACCCCCCCCCCCTTATCAGAGCGATTCAGATTATACCTCCCAGAATTCCAGATGGGGTTGGAATCTGAATCTGGGAATCTTTAGATCCACATCCCGCCTGGGCTCCCACAGCAGGCTTAGGATGATTGGAATTATTCTGGGTTCTCGGTTTGAACAATAAGTATGAAAGAGTCTGGAGTCGTACATGAAGACACCCCCATCAAAACCAACCCAGCTTTGCATATGCTCAGATGGCGCTTCTTAAGCCCTGTAACTTGCCCTTGTTTAGAATAATGTGGAAACGTGGCCTATCCCACACTAGTCCTTCCGTATTTCCACGCAGAGTGTTTTTCCAAAGTCTTTGCAAAGAAGCTTTTAAACTCTTTTCTCGTGCAGTGCCTGGTTTTTCCCCTCAGAATGATCTCAACTACTGTATGCCTATCAGTTCAAGACAGTTGTCTGTCACAAAAGGATATGCAGGGGTGGTTCCCCCGATCCCAAATCAGGAACATTAAATAAATTCTGCAAGTCAGCACAATGCCATTCTTCAGTGCTCCACAGATTTGGCTACTGTTCTGATATGGGTCAGTGGTGCGTGCCATGTCTCCCCCCCCCCCGCATTACTCAGAGATGAAAGGAAAGGAAATGAATGAAAAATGACTGTTTTGGGGGGATGGGGGA